GGGTAGGGGGGGGGAGGGGGGTAAGTAGGTAACTTATTTTTTAGAATATTTTTGTTCATTGCTATTTACTGTGCATAATATAAATGTATAATATAAGTATTATTAATATGATATAATATAATATAATATAATATAATGTTACTATAACATAGTATTATATCATTTATATTATATTATATTATATTATATTATATACTATATATATTTATGATATTATACGTAATATATATTTATTATATCATATATAATATTTATATTTTTGTATTATAAATTATATATTTATTATAATTAAATTAATATAATATATAATTACGTTATATAATATAAATAGGCATTAATAAAATATATAAAATACATTATATTATACATTATATTATATATTATATTATGCTATATATATGTTATATATTTATATTTATATTGATAAAATATATATGTTATCAAACACAATACCTAAAACTTTATTAATATTCCAGCAGATTATCAAACACACTACCCAGAACTTATTTAAACCTTATAGAACAAAACATTAAACTTTCCACAAGATTTTAAAAAGATTCAACACTCCCGATTTGACCTGGAATGTTCCTGCAGGTGCATTATGTTTAGTTACTGCACCGTATGAAAATGCTACTTGGAAAGGGTTTTATGGATATGAAACTTCAGGATCCATTTGAGACTTGAGAAAGACCGTATGATTATTTTCTAGGAAAAAACATTGATTGATAAGTTTTTTACACTTAGATCTTACTTTCCAAAATTGGATATCTACGTTCAAGTTTAGGACATAATTATTTCCAAGCTTACAGAGAGTGTCCTGAAATTTTTTCCTAGTGTTGATCACTGAGTTGAGTTGAAGAGAATGCGTACCTAAAATTTTAGTTCTAAAGATACTCCTGTATTGGGATTTACTCGAGGGAGATAATGAGATTATATGCTTACAAGGTTACATGATTGTATGCTCCTGTGGGATCATGAAATCTTTCGAGATAATGAGCTTTATGTGGTTTTGGGCTCTCAGCCTAAGTAGCACGTAATACAATATGTGCCAATTCTTACATTTTACTTGCACCTGCCCAACATCCATTGGGTTATATCAAAAAACTTTGAGGGGGACTCATCAAATGGAGAAGCTAAACATCCTAGCCATCCATTGTTGACATCCAATGGTTGACAGGTTATATCAAAAGATCTTACATAGCACAAAGCACAATAAGAATAGAAGAGAGAAGTTGAAGAAGATAGATTAATATCAAATGGTCTACATCTTGGATAGGGGAGAAACCAGTGGTCCACTAGGTTTGGAGAGGGAGAAACCAGTGGTCCACTAGGTTTGGAGAGGGAGAAACCAGTGGTCCACAACTTATAAAGGGAGAAATATGAGAAGGAAGAAAGTTTAGAAAGTTTCATGGTAGTTGAAATAAATTATAATTTTTATTTATAGTAATAATAACTTATGAAAACCCTAATTTAACCAATAAAAATATTTTTTATTTTTTATTCTAAACTATGTATTTTATTATAAAATCTTGCTACTTTTAAAATAAAATATTCCAACCCTAGAAGGGCCTGAATTTCCTAAAGACCTCCCATCAAAATTAAGTTTGATACTTCCAATAACAGGAGGGGTCCATCTGCCTTTTGGTCAGACTTTTGACACATTCTGAAGCATCACGTTATGTAGATTAATATCAACATCCACTTTGGTTACTCCAAACTCTTCCTTTGTCACAGAGAACCAACTGCAAACCGATTGCAGAATTTTCTTTTTGACCAAATCCACTTCCAAAGCTTTGTTATCAAAAGTTCTCCTATTACGCTCCATCCAAATCTCCTACAGAAGTGTCGCTCTTACCATCTCCCAAAT